AGGGGAAACTTACCCATCTCTGGTTTCACTGTAGGTTTAGGATTGTGTTGGCCACAGATAAGGCAGGTTCGCACATGTTCCCTCAACATGTCCTTCAGGAATGGGTGCCACCAATGACAGAGATTCCTCTCCATCTGGGCGACACCCACATGCCCAAGGCCATGAGCCTCTCTGATCTTTTTCTCTGCCAAATCTGCACTCAGCACTGGTCTTCCATCTGGCCCCCTCCAAATGTTGCTTACCTTTATGGCTCCTCTCTCCTTCCAGAGTGACTTTTCTTCTGGAGAGGCCTTCTCTTGTTCTTTTATGATCTCTTCGCGTTCCAGCCCTGGATTTTCTTCCCAATCCATTCCCACACTTACCATTTGTCTGATCCCCGTGTAGCCAACCACCTTTTTGGCTGCTTCATCCGCTGCTCGATTACCCCGAGCAACCCAAGTGGCTGAATCATCGTGTCCCTTGCACTTTATGATTGCTACCTCCAGGGGTCCTTCCAGGGCTTCTTCCAGGGCCTTCATCTCCTTCTCATGTTTGATTGGTTGTTGATTGGTAGTGAGGAATCCCGCTCTCTTCCACTGACTCAGCTCCACATGTGCAGCTCCAAAGGCATAGGCTGAATCAGTGTAAATGTTTATCCTTTTTCCTTGAGCATATTTCAGAGCTTCAATCAGTGCAACCACCTCTGCTCTCTGCGCTGACTGCTGCCCTTCCAGCTTTACTGCTTTGATCACCTCCAGCTGCTCCCCTCTCTTACTTACCACTGCATAGCCTGCCTTGAGCCCCTCCTTCTCATCCCTAAAGCAGCAGCCATCTGTGAAGAGATCCTCTGCTCCTTCCATGGCTTCCGCCTTGAGATCTGGTCTTGTTTTCTCTTCTCCCCAGACCGCCTGGGCGCAGTCATGCGGTTCCCCTGACCCCATTTGGTCTGCCATGTTTATCCCTTCATGTGTGAAAGTCAAATTTGGAGCCTCCAGCACTTTGCTAAGCCTCTGTTGTCTAAGTGGGGTCATAGTGAAGGCCTGTGAGTTAACATAAGCCACCACACTGTGTGTTGTTAAAACTCTCAGTGGGTGTCCTCTGACTATATGTGCTACTTTCTGGATGGCCTTTGCCACTCCAGCTACATGCTGAGTGCATGTAGGGTGCCTTTTCTCCATGTTGTCTAAACATACACTAATATACATTAAAACCTGCCGGCCTCCCCCTTTTTTCTGAAACAAAACACCATTCACCACCCCTTTTGTTTAACAAACATCTAAGAAAAAGTCCCTGTTGTAATCTGGCACAGCTAAATCTACTGCACGAGAAAGGTCCTGTTTCAAAGAAATGAAGCATTGTTCAGCTTCAGTAGTCCAGTTCAACTTAGCAGTCAGGTCCCTCATGCCATGCTGCTTCACCAAATCACGCAAAGGCTTAGTACGGCCCACATAGTCTGGAATGTACTGCCGGCTGTAGCCTGTGAGACCTAAAAAAGAAAGCATCTCTTTCACAGTCTCCGGTCGCGAGTGGGAGAGAATGGCACTTCTATGAGCAGCCAGCAACCCCACCATATGCTGTTTCACCTCTCTCCCTAAAAAAGTCACCTGTGGTCTCACCAACTGTAATTTGTCTTTACTCACTTTAAAACCCGCCTCCGCCAGTCTCCTGAGCACAGTCATGGTGGCCTGAAAGCAAGCATCTGCCGTGGGAGCGGCAATCAGGAGGTTGTCCACATATTGAACCAGAGTGCAGCCAGCCGGCATCACACACGGTTCCAACATCTGCTTCAACACTTGGTTAAAAATCCCCGGTGACAGAGCAAATCCCTGTGGCAACCGAGTATACCTTAACTGTTGACCCCTGTAAGAAAAAGAAAACACATCACGCAGAGAGTGGTGCAAAGGTAAACAAAAGAAGGCATTTGCCAGGTCAATGCATGTAAACCAACGCTGCTATGGGGAGAGATTAGTCAATGCAGTAAATGGATTAGGAACTGGCACAGTTTTAGTTTTCAAAATTGCATTAATAGCCTGCAAATCATGAGCCATACGGTATTTACCTGTGCCATGCTTTTCCACTGGCAAAATGGGCGTGTTCCATTGAGACATGGAAGGCTCCAACACCCCCACCTTTAACAGCCATTCAATAGTCTCTGCAATGCCTTCCTCTGCCTGTGGTGAATGTCGGTACTGCGGACGCCATATTGGAATGTCAGATTTAAGTTCAAAGGTCACAGGTGAACAGGTGGTTAAGCCAACATCCGTAGGCCCCTGTGACCACAGTGTGTGAGGCAACTGTGAGAGGCCTTTAACGGCCTCTGGATGATCTGTCAGTTCCCTGCCATGTGTCCTACGTATGTGACGATGTTCCAATGTAGTGTCATCTGTGTGGGATGTTGAAATTCTGTAAGTTTTAGTACTTGGGGAGAAGGAAACATCAGGAATCTGTGTGAGTTGCCAATCAATTGCTCGTGAAGCTACACGTATCATGGGACCCAAGTCCTTTGCTTGATGTCCAGAATGAACCGCTAGACACATGAGGCACAGATTCATCACCCATTCGGAACTAGCTCTTTTGTTCCTCCGCCAAGTGGACCAGGGCTGCTACCCCCTGCGGTCCAACATAAATACCCCTGGTAGAGACCTGCCATGGTTTCCCTTCCAGGAATTCATGGAACAGGTCTTCGTACCACTCAGTATTTTCGCGATCGTAAAAAAGTGTCACGTGGTATGGGTCAATAGGTGGTGCATACACATCCAGGGCCATGATCCGGGGCCGCCAGAGCTGGAAGTGTGCCAGGATGCCGTCAGAGGTCGTCAGCCGGGCCCAGTAAATTTCTGCTGTACGATCAATGTCCTCAGACAGCAGCCACTGTCCTCTCGTACTTGTGGCCACACAAGGAAGCTGTGTGCCATCCTTCAAAGTCATTGTTAAACCATCGGGCCCACAAATGATCACAGCTCCCAGTTTGATGAGCAGGTCTCGCCCCATCAAGTTCACAGGCACCTGCGCTGAAATAACATATGGATGAGCCACTGCTTGCTTTCCAATTTCAGTCTTTAACGGAACAGTCACTGGCAATGTCATTGGAACCCCAGAGAAGCCGACCACGCTGACCTCGTCCCCAGATAGTTTAATGTTCTCAGGAACTTCTTGGATGGTTGAATAAGTAGCTCCTGTATCAACAAGGAATGGCAGAGTCAGTCCATTCACCGTCAGTGAGAGTAAGGGGTCTGCCTTTCCCCCCTCTCCTCGGCCTCCCTGTGGGGTGTGTCACTGCTGCCAGTCCTGGCTGCCCCAGCCGGCCCCCCAGGTCGGCATTTGAGGTCTTGGTCCGGGGACCATGTGTGGGTTTGGAGCCTGATAGTATGGACCACCCCTTCCTGCTTGAGGCGGGCCCATTTGCTGCTGTATTTGTGGCTGCTGTGGACAGTCTCTGGCCCAGTGCCCAGGCTGACAACACACCCAACAGACACCTCTAGGCCCACGACCCGCTCCAGGCGCGCCCCTTCCATACCCCAGGGTGCCTCTCACACCCACCGAGCCACCACGACCTCTTGCCCTTCCCCTACCGGCCCACACATTACCTCCCCAGCTGGCCATGGGTGCACTCTGCAAACCATCATAATATGTCCAGGGATTCATTGGATAAATATTTGGGTTAAATTCAGGTATTTTTGGCTCAGGAGGGCAGTCTTGAGCTATCATCACCTTTGGTGGATCAGTTAATTTATTCTCTTTTTTCTTTTCACTTACCTTGTGTTTCGCTTCTCCCAAGTTAAGTTTAAGCAATTGTTCCTGAAGCTCCTCCAACTCCCCTTTCTTTTTATCCTTGATTTGCTTATATTTATCCAAATGATGCACCAAGTGTTTCTCCCAGCGATGTGCGTCTGCACCTTCTAAATCAGGGTCATCTAAAGTTTTTTCTCTTACCTGTTCTGGTACTCCCTCTAGCACTGCCTGTCTAAACCAAACCTGATGAAGGCCACGTGTGGAAGGGTTATAACCTGTATTCTGCAACCACTTCTCTTTCACCTGTTCTACATAATCTCTAGAATTTTGATCAGGGTTCCATTCTAACTTTTTAATGGCAGCCGCATTCGGGGTTGGATACTGCTGGCGCAGAGCATTCCCAATCTGCTCCTGCACTCTAAAAAAGGGTGTAGTGTCTGGTCTAGTGGTGACAGCTGCCAGCACCTGGATTTCCTCCAGTGCAGTAACTGTCATACACCGGCCAGCTATGGCTCGAAAATCCCCCAGGGCGAGCTGTGTGCCTGATGTCACTCTATCAAGTTATCTCAGCCAACCCGCGCCTCCATCAATGATGGGTGGGAGCATCTGCCCCAGGGATGTAACATCCCCTACCCCGTATGGTTTAGATCTTCTTTCACCTCCTGTTGCAACCACTAGGGGCATTCCTAATGCAGAACTGGGGTGTCGCAGGACTTCCCCTGGGGATTTTCTGCCGCTTTCATTTGACTTCTTCTCCACATCGGATGACCTCCAAGCTCTCCTCCACTGCGACGCCATTGGTCCTCCATCTCCTCTCGTTCTCTTCGAGATCCAAACGCGGGCCATCCTCTTGAGTCATCTTCATCCCCTCCTGCACTCTGAATCACACTACACTCATCTATATCCTCTTCCAGAGTGCCCTGTATCCATTCATCCCAGGTGTCAACAGCTCTTACCTTAGGTGTTTGCGTCTTAAAATACACCTTCTTCCTCACATCTGGACCTAAAACACCACTCCCTTTAGCTTTTACCTTTTGCTTCTTAAATTTTTCCCAAAATTGTTCTTCATCGAACCGTGTACTCACCATGTCCACCATTTTCTCTACCTCTTCAGGTAATAATTCCAGAGGAGTCCTAGCTGTTGCTCCGGCTGCACCAGGCTGTTCTTCCTCTCCTTCTTCGTCCTCCCCATCTTTTTGTTCCAAGTTGGTCTGAGTATGACCAGCAGGTAGCACTGTCTTTGTAGGTCCTATTACTATATTTTGTTGCTGCGGCTTAGGGCGGTGCTGGTCCTCATAATCACACTCCGCCTGCCCTCCAGTTAGGCGCAGCACCGTTCCCTCTTCATTCTCCATCCTGCCATCCTCAATACTCAATGTTGGATAATTACCACAATATGGTGGAGGACGTGCTGAAAAAAGAGGGGATGTGGGGTGAGGGTGTGGAAGACCACCAGGTCTCAACTTACCTTCCTCTTCCACAGGTTCCCTCATCCAGTGCTCCAGTCCTTGGCAGCTGATTCCCCATACAGCCAGCCTGGCTCGTTTCTCCTCCTCCTCTTTTATTTGTTTCTTAACTCCCCTCTTCTCCAAAGTATGTGCTCCATCCAACTCTCTCCTGAGTTTCTCCTCCTTCTCCTCGGATGCCTTGGCCGCTTCCAATAAAGCCTTTGCGAGAGAACATCGCATATCAACTTTTATTCCAGCTTGATCACATACACTCATTATTTCCTTCCCCATTTCCAGTATTTTATCATTCTTACCTGTCAGATGTCCAGTCATGGTGATCTTCAATGCTTCCCCTAATTTCTCTTTTTGCTTATCAACAGTTTTCCATTGCATTTCTCCCTCTGTTGGACTCCTCACTCCTTCTCTAATAATCTCCTCTTGTTCAGCCATTATTTTTAACTCACCTGGAATTCCGTTACTTACCACCAGATGTCGTCGTTTGTTTTCATCGGGACCCTCCGAGCTCCTCCTTACTCCTCCTCCTTCGTTTCACCTATGAGCCCACCCCTTAAGGCTGGCACTCACACACCTTCTACTTCTCGCAGTCCAGTTCTCAACTCACAGCAGGACACTTCCTCCTCTGCTTATTCCGGACAATGCCCTAAGCGGTACACAGAGCGGGTGCCGTCCGCTCTTGTACACCTCACAAATTATTCAAATTGCGCCACGGACTCGATACCGCAGTTTCTCTTCCCCTAAAAAATATAAAACCAAATTAAACCCCCCAATTGACTTCACAGTTTGCAACAATTCGCGACACGGCCTCCTGCCGCGATTTCTGCACACCACAAACACACACTTTTAGACACGAATTCTTTTTGTTACTTTAATTGACTCCCGTACTTCAGACGAGACGCCGACTCTAACGGCGCTTTCACACAACTACACAGTCTACACACACTGCAGTCAGTGGGACAAGCCAAGCAGTCGTTCTCTCACTAACAAAGCAACTTGCCCCCACTCTCATGCATGTTATCAACCGTGACTAGGATCCAACACCTAGCTTTAGTTATTTAGGGCGCCCCTGGTGCCCAGGTCACCAACCCGGCACATCCCAAGGACGCGTCCGACCAAGGGTGGAGTTGCCAAACTCGGAGCGCACATGGCCCTTTCAGCCCCGCTTTCTAACTAATAGTAACACAAGTTTCCTGCTTTAACGCACGAGGACGAGCACAGCACCGCCACTTTTTTCCTAATAACTAAGACGGATCAGACACCGCCACGGATGAAACACAGATTCTATTAATCCGTAACAAACGTCTCCTGCTTTAACGCACCGAGATGTCCTTACGGGGTGCTAAACATCAACCTGAGTTCTTATCAAAAGTCTCTTGCTTTAGTCGCTCACAGTACGCTAAACATCAACCTGAGTTCTTAGCAAAAGTCTCTTGCTTTAACGCACTGAGACGGACGCTAGCCGCCTTTTTTTCTACTGAGTGAATTTACACTGTGATACGTTCAACTTAGCGAACAGACAATTTAGAATTTATTCAATATGCACACTTCAAAAATAAACAGGTGGTGCTTACCTTTTAGATGATTGAGCCGGCTCTCTGTTCGCCTCGTTTCATGACCTCAGCACTGCCAATTCGTCCTCTCTGAACCTCGAGCGAATCCCGGGTTTCGGCACCAAAACTGTTACCTTTTCACAGTTTCACCCTGTTCGTAGATTCCTCAGGCCTCCAGAAAGAACACCGGGGACTCAGTAGTCAATTCACAACACTTATTAATTCACACTCATTGATCACACTTATTGATTATACCTATTGATTACACCTTCTAGAAGGGAGATGTACAGGACCCTGGAACTCCTCTGCAGATCTCAACTCCTTTGTCTGTTACATGCAGTTTTGTATCAGTGACCCCCCTTCTAAACCCTCTACAAGGTGCCATAAAACTAAGTACTATGTTTACATACTTTCACTTGTGTGTGTGTGCGAGCCTGTGAATGCCTACATGTGCGCGTTCCCGCGTGACTATATGAGTGCTCGTGTGTGACTGTGAATGCATACCTGTGTGTATGTGTGAGTGCACACGAGTGAGTGTGCGTGTGGATGTGTGTGCGTGACAGTTAAAACACTGTGGGTGTAGGTAACTCCCTAGAGGTCATAAAACCCCTCTCCCTTCCAGACCACAGTTATCCAGTTATAAATGTTGAGAACCCCACCCTAAAACATCCTCTGGGGAATTTCCACTCAGTGGGGGAGAGGCCTCCTACAATCTACTCCTAAGTTCACAACACAGTGAGGCCTTTATTACTTTAAATTCAAATTCAAATTTTATTTGTCACACACACACAACCATACACAGTATGACATGGGGGTGAAATGCTTGTAGCTGTACAATGCCCGACAATTAAATGACAGAAGAAAAGTTTTACAATATTTACAATTTACAGTTTACTACAAAAATTTACAAATTACTTAGGAATTTACAGTAAAGAATGTGCAAATAGCAGAAGAGATAAGGATAAAGATAAGGATTATAAATTATAGGAATTATAGGATTATAGGAAATGTGTGGTGGTGCGTGTGGTGACGTGTGTGAGAGTCCAGTCTTATAGTGACGTGTTTGGGAGAGTCCAGTCCTACACCTGGTTCAGGCCCCAAATAGCCTGGGGGAAGAAGCTCCTCCCCTTTAAGGGCAGTATCAATGTCTCTACAATAGTTCTACATTCTATGATAACACATTTCTATACTCTAAAATAAGCTAAACATTCTACACTATGTACAAGTCTAACACATTGAACATACACAAATAAAACCATTTTCAGCATGTAAACCAGAATAACAACAAACTTCATTTTTACATAAACTAATCACCCTGTCCTTAACACCCGCTTACTCTCTGAGCTTATTTTATATCTATGTGAAAAGCGCTATATAAATGCAATCCATTATTATTATTATTATTGACAAACACCTTAATGAACACTTAAGCTTGGGGTAATAAGGCCTTGATCTATAAAAAATGAGGACACAATTAGACAACTCAGTCACTGAGAGGAAGATTTCCTATATTCATGCAATTTATTATTTTTGAATAATCGTGTGAATTTTTGTATTGATGTACTTGTCTTGATTTCATCTGTACAGGTGTTCCACACACTAACTCTGACTGCAATGCTCTGATATTTTACATTTGTCCTTACTACTGGCTTGCTGAACATAAGGATTTCTCTCAGGTCATGAGTATTTGGTCTTATTTGGAACAGGTTCTGAATGTTGTGGGGCAAAGATTTATTCGCTTCTTTGTACATTGTTTGCGCAGTTCTG